CACAAAATATACTTACAGTGGGAAACTATCGCAATTTAAAGATAGAATCACAAGGTGGGTGCGTGTAAGGATGCATAATAAAAAAATTATAATGATGAAAATTGCTAGTAATTGTAAGCAGGTCAACACCGCGCTGAGACTACTGGGGGGGTGGGGGGGTTTAAAAGCACAATGATTACATATGTATACTTTTCTGTTATATTGGTTTTTTTACTAAAAAGGAGGAGAAAAATTAAATATGTATATTGAAAAGGAATTGTAACTACCATCAATATAAAATGGAGTTCGCTCAGAAGCTGAAATACACCAAGTAAATGAGATGAAGAGTGGGAAGTAGAGGAAAAAAGTAAGGGAAGAAGAGAGGGATAGGAGAGAGGGCGGGGGGAGAGGAGGAGAGAAATGAGGAGTGGTAAGGGGAGGGAGGAGAAGGGGGAGGAGAAGGAGAGAGGAAGGGGAAATTGAGAAGGGAAGGATGACAGAGGGAAGAAATGAGGTAGGGAGGGGGAGGAGAAAGGGAGAAGAAAGTGATGGATAAGGTACAAATATGGTGTATGGAGAGTAGACGAGCCAATAATTGGTTTTTAGAAGTTGTTGGTAAGATGAATTGATGTAAACATTTAATAATACAATATGATGTTGGTTATGTAATAGTATACATGTGATTATATGTTATGAAAATAAAAAAATAAACTTTAATTAAAAAATGAGATGTGTATATTGTTTCGCCTAAACCATTATTTACTTCTGATTTGTGTTATTTTTTTAATGTTAATTTTATCTATAATAAAAATAATTATATAAAAAAATGCAAGGCAATAGTCAATTAATGCAATACTTTGTAACAAAATGGTATAGGCCTAAAACAGAATAAAATACAATCAATTCAGCTTACCTGAGCTGATGTTCTCTTAAATTAGACAAAGCTTCCATTCCATGTAAATAAGAATATACTATCTCCAGATCCTGGAAAAAGAAGAGAACAAACATTTAAAATAGTATGAGAAAGTATGAGGGGTAAAATAGTTCCTATTTGTATAATAAAAGGAACTCAAACCAAATGATCTGATTTTCTTATTAGACCTACTGTAAGTGAACATTCCATAACAGAATTCTTTCTGAGACAAAATTCTCTTATGCACATTGATAGAAAACTAGTGGTGTTGTAGTGCCTGGACAGTGACCCACAGATCCTCTGTAGCCTGAAGGGCCGAGGAAGACTGGATCAGGAAGTCATTCAGATAGCACTGGAAATGCATGGGCAGAGCCTGCAGATGAGCCGCCAGAATTTTTGTAAACAACCTAGGTGCTGATGAAAGGCCGAATGGCATGGCCCTATATTGATAATGGTGCCCCGCATACTGAAACCGGAGGTATTGCCAGTGCAGTTGCCAAATAAGGATACGTAGATAGGCCTCAGTGAGATCAATGGATGAGAGGAAGTAGCCTGCCAAATGCCCCCCAAAATTGTGTGAAATGACTGCATTTTGAACCCCAGATATACAAGATGGAAAGCCCCAGCAACAGAGGAGTGTCCTAACAGCTCAAATAGACAAGGTCAACCCATTCCTAGATGTTATCTCCACCAAGATGGAGAAATATTCACTTGGAAATGCGACAAAGAAATCTTGATTTCTAGATCAGATTATTAGGTTAACTTTTAAAAAATCCAGAAATTTATAAAGCTGCCCAACTCTATAACAACTCCAAGTAACCTACAGCAAAAACAATCAAATAATTAAAGCAAAAACATCAACAACCAAAAAAAAAAAAAAACAGCAGAAGAAATCTAACGCAAAAAACCCCTCAAATATGGCACCCACCCTAACCCACAGCCTGGGGAAAGAGCTAGGTTTTCAAAACTCTCTTAAACATGGTCTGAGCAGGGACCAGATATATCTCTTGCCCAGAGGGCAAGTACGGTAACTAAGAACAATTCCTAGATGCTATCAGGTCATACTATTTAATGGATAGGACCTAGGGCAGCGATGGTGAACCTTTTTTGGCTCACGTGCCATAAATGGGGGGAGCGCAGGGGGGTTGTACGCAGGCATGCCGCACCCATAATACAATGCGTGACCCCCCCCCAACGTGCACGCACGCATGACAGGCACTCCCCCAAACTTTTTGCATGCGTTTTTCACGCTCCCCAAGCTCCAGAGGCTTTGCCTGGGGAGGGCAAAAACAGCCTCCCCCCCCCCTTTGTAGGCCCTCCAGAGGCTTCAGGAGCTTCTCTGAAGCCTCCGGAGCGCAAACAAACGGCACTACGGGCAAACTGTAAGTTCGGAAACAGATTTCCGGGTTGCTCATAGGGCCGGTTTAAGCTCTCTGGAGCCTTCAGGGACTAAAAACAGCCCTACAAGCAAACCTGGACTTCCAGTTTGTCCGTTGGGTCATTTTTCATCCTCCGGAGCCTTCAGGGAAGCCTCCGGAAGGCCTCTGAAGGTTCCGGAGGGCTTAAACCGGCCCTATGAGCAAACCAGAACTCTGTTCCCAAAGTTCCGGTTTGCCCATAGGGTCGGGGTTTTGCGCTCCGGAGACTTCAGGGAAGCTGAAGGGAGGCTGTTCAGGGAGGCTGTTTTCACCCTCCCCAGGTTCTTATAAAGCCTCTGGAGCCTGGGGGGGGGGGGAAATAGCTTTAAAAAAGGCTGAACTCAGCTGACAGGGCAACGCCTTGTGTGCCCTGACAAATGGCTCTGCGTGCCACCTGTGCCATCCCAGATCTAGGGCATTGCCTAATTGTACAATCCAGGCAGAAAGCAAGAAAAACAGATGGTGCTTTAGATCAGTGTTTTTCAACCTTTTTTGTGCAAAGGCACACTTTTTTCATGAAAAAAATCACGAGGCACACCACCATTAGAAAATGTTTAAATTTTTTATCTCTGTGCCTATATTGACTATATATAAAGTAATTCTCTTGAATCACAACGAAATCAGTATTATTTGAAACTNCGGGGCCAAAGCCACCGCCGCTCGCGCAACGCCGCCACCGCCGCCGCCCAGCTGTTCAATAGGAAGCAATCAGTAAGGCCGCAATATGGAGCAGCAAAGTTGCGGTGGGGGTAGAGAGCCAGTCCTCCCGTCCAAACAGGCACTTCCATACAGTTCCCTGCCCTCTGTTCAGGGCGCAAATCAAGCCTCCCAGGGTAGCGGGGCAGCCTCCTAAGGCAGCGGGGCCGAAACCGCCGCCGCTCGCGCAACGCCGCCACCGCCGCCGCCCAGCTGTTCGAAGAAATCACCGAGGGAGGTAACACCGTCCAGGGACCACCCGAAGGCAGCCCCCTCCTCAAATAATTACCTCCCCGGGAAGCCCGAGTGTTGATCTCTTGCAGGGACCCCTCCGTTGTCATGTTCGGGGTCCTAGTCGCCTGGAAATTATCGTTGTTGTTTTTCTATAGCCGGAGCGTTGAACTCGGCGGCCATTCCCATTCTCACGCATGCGCAAACGTGGTTAAGATTCCCCCCCCCCCCGCGCATGCACACTGCCTTCCCTCACCCATTTTTGCCTTTCAGGTTAGTGCAGGAGGCTTTCCAGGCCCAAACCGGGGCACAAGGAGGTCCTCACATGGCGGTCACATGCCACTTTTGGCTTCCAGGTTGGTGCAGGAGGAGTTCCAGGCCCAAAACGGGGCACGGGGTCAGTGTGTGGAGGCCCCAAAATGCCATGCAAGTGTTCCCCCCGTGCATGCCCCCTTCCCCCACACATGCCTGCACACGTCCCCTGCATCCATCCCAGTCCTCACGCATGTGCAGCAGAGACCCAAAGAGCCGGGCTGGGGCAATGTTTGGCAATGTGGGTACCAGAGGTGGGTTCCTACCAGTTCGCACCTATTCGGTAGAACCGGTTCGTCAAATCTATCGAACTTGTTAGAAGAGGTTCCACCAGTAGACCCGGAAAGCAGGCCACACCTACAGAAGAGGTTCCAAAAATTTTTGAAACCCACCACTGGTGCCCACAGAGAGGGCTCTGCATGCCACTTGTGGCGTGCGTGTCATAGGTTCACCATCCCAAACATTGTGTTGACTTAAACACAATTCAGACAGAATTAATTGTGCAATCCTTTCAGCCCCGCCGGATTTTTTTTCTCTCCAGCGTGCACATTTTTATTTTATTTATTTTTTTGGGAATCCGATGCATTCTTCACCTGTGTGAGTCACGCCAGACAAACACGATCTTCCAGCCAGCAGGTTTCAGCCGGATGACGGCAACGTTTCCCCCTCAAGTCGGAAATATTTCTCCTCATGTGATTTCAAACAAAGGCTGAGTCATCCTCGTTCTCGTGACATTCACTTTGAAGCCAAGAAACAAGGAGACTGTTCCTATCGGCTCCTTGTGCCTGCAATGCTAAAGTTTTGTTGCAAAAACCTACTAAAACCCCATGAGCAATTGGCAATCTGTGGGGTGGGCACAGAGGTGGTATTCTGACCCGTTTGCCCGAACTAGTAGCAGAAATCGTGGATGGCCCTGCCCTCCTGCCCCGGCTCTATGGCATCTTTAAGCCCTTTTTTTTTAGGCAAAGCGCATGCACGGAAAGAGTACCCTCACCTGGGCGAACTGGTATGGAAGGTAAGTTAATACCACGCTGGGAGCGCTGGCATTTTTGGAGATCATTTTTGGAGTGGCAACTAGGAAAGCAGCAGGTTGCAAATGTCTGCTTCCTTCCCAGATCTTTCTTCTCTCTGAGTTCGATAAAGACTCTTCCCCTTGATGATTAGATATCTGGGCTGCGATGATTCAAATGGCCACAAGATGGCAACAAAGAAAGGCAGGGGGAAAAACATCTGGCATTTTGCTGCCACCTAGTGGTTTTGTGGAATTCTTCAATCCAAACAACCAGGTAGCCTCAGATCAATATTTTTTTAAAACTTTCAGGACTACTTTCCACTTTTGAAAATATAGAAGATCCCTAAAGAGCTTTTAACAGAATAACAGGGTTGGAAGGGAACTTGGAGATCATCTAGTCCAGTGTTTTTCAACCTTTTTTGTGCAAAGGCAAACTTTTTTCATGAAAAAAATCACGAGGCACACCACCATTAGAAAATGTTTAAAAAAATTAACTCTGTGCCTATATTGACTATATATAAAGTGTTTTTCCCACGGCACACCTTACACTATGTCATGGCACACTAGTGTGCCGCGGCACAGT